TCAGCAGGATGCAGAGATGATAATCAGGATGACCAGCAGTGCTAAGAAGACAGAGGGGGCTAAACCTTGCCAAAGATGGGAAGCTGAAGAGGGAGCTCCAACAGCACCTGCACCTAGCTGGAGACTTTTTAAAGCATAGCACTAACCTAGCAAGTGGGTGGAGGCAAGGTTACCCTAAAAAGCGAGAAGATTAAGGTGGGACCCTGCCCACTGCCCCAGGTTTGATGCCAGCCCTGCTAGGGAGGGAAAAGGATGGGGTCCAAGGCATGGCTAGCCTCAGGCCAAGGGAATTGCAGGCTCCAGGGAGGGGAGACCTGGTATGCTGTGGAAAGGGCTTGCTGTGGTGCAAGGCAGGAGGTGGCTGTATAGGTGGCAAGCCCCACAGGGCTCTGTGATCATTGCCTTTACACATGGAGGAGCAGGTGGGTTGCCACGATCTCCCAGTGCAGACTGAATCACCGATTAAGAGTGCTGATGGCTACCACAAGCCCTGGCAAGGGGCAGGACAAAGGCACTTGCTGATTCTCAGGCAAAGGGACACATCTGAGGAGGATGTCCTCCTGCACCAAGAGCAATGCTGCACGTTCAAGGGCTGGGAGCACCATGCAGCATACATGTATCCCTAACCCACCACGTGCCACTGCACCCCAGCACAGAGAACAGCTGGGATGCGAAGGTACCACCAGCCTTGGAAGGACCACAGCCAGGACAAGGTTTCCTTGTTGAGCTCCACAGGCTTTTGGAAGTTTATGGCTACCAACACCGTCCCAGCTCAAGCAGTAGGTTTGGGAGGGTTAGCAGAGAGCTCCAGCAAGCCCAGATGAAGAATGGGAGTGGGAAGAAGCAGCTCCCTGGAGAGACACGAGCATTTGTGAGGATAACTGAGGTGGCCCCTCTGAGAAGCCTCAGAACATGATGGCTATGCTACCTCTGCCTTACTCCCCCTCCAAAGTGTTAGCAGTGAAAAGTTGTCAGACACACCTGAAGCAGAGCCAACCACCAGTGAAGCACTCAAGCATGAGCAAGGTGTCCCATCTGTGCCATGTACCACAGCTACCACCTCCTCTGTTTTTACCACACTGACTGCTCCACTCCTTTGGAGCATTCCTGTACCGTCTCAAGGCAGTAGCAGTGGCAGATACCTGCTTTGCAAGTCACGGCATATGAGAAGTGAGGCTGCAGCTTGCTCACCTGGCCTCAGACATGCGTCAGCCTGGCTGGAGCAACTGTCGCAGGCTCTGTCCTGCTGGCTGACTATCCTCTACAGCATGCACCACCCAGCCAGTCAGCAAGGCATGGGGGATGCTCTTGTCTTAGGCATAAAAGCAGCAAGAAAGATGAAAGAGAAGGGAGGGAGGGTCCATGGCAGTGCTTAATGGGCAGTGCCAGGCCAAGGTGCTGGAGGATGCTCTCAGAAACACTGAGGCAGGAAGTTTGCTTCTGCAGGGGGAGAGAGAAGGGACAAAGGTGCTGCCTTGCCAAACATGCTGCCAGCTGGGGGTAGCAAGGGCTCTGCCGATGGTCAGGCTGGAGAAGACCTTCCTTCCAGAGCCCAACTGTTGACCCCAAGAGCCAACACTTGCTCTAGTCCTGGCAGCCTCATGTGGTGAAGGACAAAGAGAGAGGCCTTGCAACTGCCTGCCAGACCCTCTTCGTGGACCCGCCTGGCCTTGCAGCTGGTGAACAGCACTCGTGGCACCCTGGCACGAGAGGGACCAGGCAAAGGAGGCTCCCCTGCGCCTGGGTGACCCAAGCATGCTGTGGGCTCAGGCAACTGGGTTTATTTTCTCCATCGTAAAGCAGGATAGCTGGACATGGGCAGGCAGAGCAGGGTATGTGAAGTGGCACCCTCCACCTTGGCTGCGACTAGGAGCTCCTCAGCACTGTTGCCCTCAGGAAGCATTTAAGGGCTACTAAGGGAAAACCAGAGTGCATCCAGCTGTGGTAGTGGCTGACACAAAGGAAGGGAAAAAGAAGAGCATGAATCCATTGAGAGGCACAAATCCAAGCCCAAACTCCCAGCCACTTAGATTAGTTCAGAAGCAAGACAGAAAACTGCAAGAGAAAAGGAGAAAGAGAGAGAGTACGAGCAAGAAAGAGAGAAGAAACAAGACCCTGAAAAAACAACATACTATTCCCGCTCCTCTCGCTCCGTCTGCCAGCGTCGGCGCCTGGGGGCACAGAAACAGAAAGGGAGAGGTTACAACCATGGGAGCAGGTGCTGGGTCTCCTCTGATGCAGGGAGCTACGCACCCAACAAGGCTCCACACCATCCTGAGGAAGAGAAACCTGCCGATGGTCAGGCTGGAGAAGACCTTCCTTCCAGAGCCCAGCATTGCCCCAAGCCACAACCACCCCGAGCCCCCACCGGCCCAGGGGCAGAATGCTTTGCTGCCAGCTAACGGGAAGCTGGCTTCACTGTGAAGGTGACCTGGCTCCACCCTGTGGGCATCTAGGGGAGCTCCTGAGGGATGGGGACAGGCAGAACAGCTCCCCTTCCATGCCTCTCCTCCCCACCCAGGCAGCCAACACACTTACATTCCTACCTCCCAAAATGTTCAACCCACCCTGCCAAGGGCCAAGCAGCAGGGGCTCCCTGGGATCCCGGTCCTGGTGATCCACAGCTGTTACCACAGCGATGCTGTCTCTTCTCCCCATGCTTACCAGCTCTCCGTCGCCAAACACCTGGCACCTCTCTGCCTTCCTGCCTACAGCCCCTGCTCCCACTCGCACCCAAGGTGCTCAAGCATCACCTCCGAGAAGGGTCAGCCCTCTCTCCCCACTGAAGACCAGAACTATGCAGCCCCTGTGGCTACCAGCCAGTGCCTGGGCCCAGATGGCTTAACCCCAAGGAGCTGCTGCCCTCTCCCCAGTGAGGCCTCATACAGCTATTCCCTTCTCACTTTCCCCCAATGCCCCTGCATTGCTGATTTCCCCAGCCAGGCCAGGAAAGGAGGGGCAGAGGAGCCACAGAGACACAGCTGCTTATCTAACACTATCCAGGACCACTTATCCAAAGCAGGAGAGTTCCTGTTTTGGTGCTGGAAGAAAACAACTCCTACTCTTTCTACTGTTGTGCACGGAGTTCTCAAGAGCAGTTTGCTTGAATCTGTATCGCCAAAGGAACCAAAGAGGCTGGAGCTCAGACCCATATGAGCCTTTGGGCATGATGAGCTCATGAAGCTGATCAAGTGGAAGAACAACCTACCACAGCCAGCCTTCAGAAGCCACACTTTGCCTCCAGCATGTGACAGAGCAACCATGGGCACAGCAAACCACTCCTGGAGAGAGCCAGACTACCTGCACAACCCCTCTAGCTTAATCAAGGAGAGTTCCTTGTTCTGCCCTGGAAAATAATTATTGTCCTTCCTGCTGCTGACAGCAAAAATGAGAATAGCATCTCACTCTGCTGTGGAGCTGCCATCCCCAATGGGCTCCAACTTTTGCCAGCAGACACTGTAGCCCACGAATGCATCAGGCAGGAAGGATCCATACCCGGACGACTCAGCAGCACTTGGGATGCAAGCTAAACTCACATTAGCACAGCAGTACTGCACCTGGAAATGCAGCCTACCACTTTCAAGTGCTCTTAACAAGAACTGCATCCAGCAGAGCCACAAAGACACCTTCAGAGGCTTAACAAAGCCTTCACTGTGGCAGGCCTCACCTTTCCTGTGACCTCTTCTCCTCTCTCCTCCCTCCCCTCCATCTGCTGTTCCTCTGTAAGGGCCCTTGAACATCTCTGTCACTGTAGGGACCATAAGTGATATGCAGCCAGTGGGGGCCACTCCCTATGTTTGGAGAAGGATGCTGCAAAAAAAGCTGGTAAGTGGGGATTCTTCCTGTTCCTGGAGCTCAGGGGATATGACTGGCATGCTTGCCATTCCTCCCCAGCTGCCTCCAGCACATGCAAGGGGACTTATCCCTTCTGCCCTGACCGCAAAGAAGAGTACCGCTTGTGCCTTGTTTTCCTGCCCCTCTCCCACACTTACCTGTCAGCATCAGTCACCAGGGCCAGGCGGCCGTAGTCCCAAGCAACTTTACGCAAAATTGAAAAGACAAACAACAGTGCCTGGAAGAGAGCAAAGGAGGAGCTGTGAGATGAGGCATTGTCCAGCTCCATCCTTGTCCTCTGCATGCAGAGCCATGGGAACAGGGAGGGTAGGAGGGGACAGGATGGCTCAGCTGACAGCACACTGAGTCCATGGGACAGCACTAGTTCCCCAGGGCTGTTAAAATCAGACTATCTGGATGGCTGTGGGAGGCAGAGGTCCAGGATGCAACATACAGTAGCTCAGTTAGCCACAGGATCAAAAGGCCCTCAGGTCCCAAGGAGGCAAGATTATGGCTACAACATCTGTGGTCCTGCAGTTCCTCAGGAGGAACAAGCAAAGCCTTTGGGTGGGTAAAGATGCAGGGACTTGGCATCATAAGCAGGATTTTTGGTATGCAGGACTGACCTACCCTGACCCATGTCCTTAGGAAAATTTGCAACACCTTTCCATGGGCTCAGTGCAGTGGAATTGGAGTTAAGTCAATAGCGGCTAAGCCCACAGTGGCTATGGGATGCGATCAGGGCCATAAAGTCAGCCAGCAGCAAAGTCTGGGACAGCATTTGGGGCCCTCAACTCTAACCACCCAGCCACAGTCCTCCCTGCATGGCTAATTAGGGGAGAAGGTGCTGAAGCAACAGTAGGTACACTTACAAGAAAGCACATAAAGTCAAGGGCTAGGACGGTGGGCACCCCACCGAACGGCAGCCCCTGCAGCACAGTGCTGCGGATGCGGGCACTGTAGCAGTAGTCCTTGGTGCTGTTGTTGCATGTGGAGGCTTTGCAGGTGGCCCCTGCTGAGCCCAGGGTGGCAATCACGTAGGGAAGCATCTCTACAGCTTCATCGTCTTCCCTGGGGAAAGGAGAGAAAGGCCTGGTTAGACACACACCAGCCGGACGACAGCGTAGCCCTGTTGGAGTTAGGGGCCAACCTTGCCTGCTACCGCAGGCTCCTCTGCACTAGAGGATTTCCCTGGGAACCAGTGTCCAGGGACAAGGTCATCTGGAGAAGCCTGCTGATGTTGGGAGGAGCTGGAAGAGCCTGGGTGCTTCAGCAGCTGTGGTCCCACCATGCACAATCCTAGAGCTCCTTTCCTTGTTCCCCCACTCTCACGCCATTTAGGTGCACTTCCTTCTCACAGACAGAGTGTCTCAGCCCCTTCCCCTCAGCAGGGAGAACGTTTAGGTACAGGAAAGAACGAAAGGGTGGGGTGGTAGGGACATGAAGTCACGTCTGGATGATGGAAACAAACTGCTACAGGACAGTCGCTGCATCATGATCCCACAATTTCCTTTGCCTGGCTGCATTCCATTAGCTTTATTAGGCTGAATCACCACCCTCCACTCACTGCAGGCCTCAGCCCCCAGCTCCCAGGGCACCCATCAGCAGCTGGTTACACCCCCTGCTTCTTTTCTTCCCTTTCTCTGACTTGGATGCATTTAGATGCAACCACGCAAAGGGCAGAAAGGAGGCTTAGGCTCTACTATTTATCTGGTCAAATATTTTATTTATTTCAGTGCCCTCCCTGAATGCAAGACCTGCAGCCGGGCTCGGGTCAGCATCACTGCTTGGACATGGCGGTGTCGTCTTCCTCCTGTGCAGAGTAGCTCCACAGGAAACAGAGAGAAGACCATGCTAGCAATGGATAAACGCAAATTGAGTATCACCAGCATGGTCTAGAAATGACAAACTGACAGCAGAAACACAACTGCTTTGTGGAACAGGGGAGAGAAAACCCCATCAGCTGCAGAAGGAAGCAGCAATAACAGATGGGAATATCTACCCAGGCTGCCAATCCCTGAACCATCCCTCTTAGCCAGCACCTACCAACCACCCCAAATCCTTCAATACCACCACGTACCATGCAGAAAGGCTGGCTGGCACAGCATCATTTCTGGCCAATGCTCAGGGGCTGCTTACCCAAGCCCAGAAATGCCCTCCTGGCGGGCTGGGCAAAAGAGCCGTTGCTCGCCCAAAGCACGAGAAACCCACCACCACTGCCCTGTGCTGGTTTCAGCCTCTTGTCCCAGAGATGCTCCCTGCCACCAGCCCTGTCCTTCTAGTTCCGTGCTGGATGGTGGCATTAGCAGAGAGAGCGCACGGCTCCTCCCTCCAGCTCGCGGGTATATCCTGGCAATCTCCCGCCTGGCTGCAGAGATTTATCAGCATCACAGCACAACACTGGCTGGATAATGACTACCAAACCATTTGCTGCGGTGTCCTAGAGAGCTCAGCTTCAAAGTGATCTCTCCCAGCTCAGCTGGTATGGATGCATACCAGCAAACAAGCTGAAGCACTGATGACAAAGGGCACCACAACGAGCAAAAGCCCAGCTGAGTACAGGCATTGAGGGGGGTCAGCCGAATTGGAAAAGCCACCAAGCAGCTTGTTAAGAGATACTCACAGGTACAGAGCTGGAGCAGGGCTGTCGGGAGCAGAAAAAGGGAGTAGAAAAGCAGGAGAAGAAAGCCAACCCACGAGATCACAGTTGGGAACCAGCTGGGGAGCCAGGCAGGATAATTCACCCTGGATGAATTAACAAGAGACTTGGAAGCTCCACTGCATGTATGGGAAGAAATGTTGGGATAAGACTCACCAAATGAAAGTCACACGCTTCAGACCGTCAATAGTTATACCCCTCTGTTTTTACCTCAGAGTGCCAGCCTAGATGGACTCATTGCAAAGAGAAAAACCTCTCATTCCTCTTTTTGGGAATCTTGTAAACTTTTAGGTTGTAAATGGTATTTTGGAGCAATGAGTTCCAGATGTTGAGTAAAAGACTATGATCCCACTGCAACTCCACAGCCTTCAGTTCTCCTTGCATAGTGAGAAAAGGCAGAGAATAAAAGCCTCTGCTTTTTCTAGACCTACTAAGCTCACTACTGTTAAGTGCCTTCCCATGACACGAGGTGTCTTCTAGCTCTAACCATTCTCACTGCACATCCCCAATAAATCCTCTCTTTTGACCCTATGGAAAAGAGACCAGAACTGCATACGATATCCTGGGTAGGGAAATGACCTTGACTGCCAGAACAGCATCCTGATGCTCTCAGCACCTCTCCTTATGCTACTCCTTGTGCAGCTGAACATGATTTACTTCTCCAATGACATCCTTGCGTATTGAGGAAAAGCATCTCTGTAACCAGCCCGCAATGCTGCTGCCATGAGTAGCCACACTAATTTAGAAGCCAGCCATGTCCCAGAACAAATCATTCCTTCCAATACACCCAGCTGCATGCTTCTCAGCACCTGCTTTCTCATCACCTCACACCACTTCACACAGCATCACTTTGGAGTCGCTTCATCTTGACAAATCTGAACAACTCCAGGGCATCGGCATATTTTGGGTACCTTGCTGCACATTATCTTTTCTGGGTCATTAATAGCAAAGGACCTCATCCCTCTGTTCTTGTCACACTGAAATTCCTCATTCACTCCTAGGCTTTGTTTGTGGACCCTCAGCCAGTTTTTGATCCAGGACTCTACATCTCCTCCACTGGACAGTTTTCTTAACAGTCTTTTGTGAGGAATTTCAGAACACCCAAGCAAGTTACACAAGCTGGCTGAATATTACCTACTATTTTACTGAAGTACTGAAAGACTTGCAACAGATCAGGGAAGTATGATTTTCCTCTGCAGAGACCAAACTGTTTACCTCACTCCTGCATGCTTTATAGTCCCATTTTCTGGTCATCTTTCTAAATGAAACAAGGCTCATACAACTCACATTGCCCATGACCCCATCATAACCATTATTTATACAAACCATCACATGTTCAAGACAAATTTTGCAAGCCTATGGGTAATTTAAGCCACATTTCAGACACAGGTCCCAGAGATGCATTTTTTTCTGAAGCCTAAAGGACAGGCTGGAGATAAACCTCCCTAGCCTCTCCAGTAACCCAGTCAGAACAGCCAGTAATGGAAAAGCTGTGGCACATGCCCAAGGCTTACACTGCCTTTTCATCAGCCCAGCCAGGTGGCATAGCGGCAGTCAGCACCATCCTTAGGTATGCAATCTCCCACCTGGCTGGTAAGCACAAGAAGGGGCTCCCCATGGAGACAGAGGTGCTTCAGGTATGTGGGAAGGGTGGGAAAGCTTGCAGAGATGTCCGCAGCACTTCTACCCTTCCAGCTCCCCCAGCTGCAGGCACAGCCAGCAGCAGGCTGGAGGCGACCTGCTGTCACATCACTTCAAGTCACACCCACCAATGTGCCCAGCTTCTTCTGGGGTCACAACACGAATTCGGCAACTAAGAAAAAGCTTGGTGACTACCTCTGCAGGCTCGATCAACAGCACCTACCTAGAATCCTTCATCCCAGGAGCCTATCGGCTGAGCAGGAGGCTGGCTGGTCTTGCCAGGCACAGCACAACCCATGGGACTGACAATACCTCCATCCTCATGCTCTGTTTGCAACTTGGTTGCAGAAGGCCGCTCCAGGGGACCCTCTGTCCCCACCCTCGACCTGGCAGGGCACACTGCAACGTGTCCCGTGCTGCAAGGTGCAGGCCTGGTCCTGGAGACAGCTGACATTGGTTGCAGTGTTTTAAGCAAAGCACAGTCCTGTGGCACAGCAGCATACATCCCAGTTATGAAAGGAAATCCCCTCTGGCAGCATGGGAGGGAGAAGGGGACTTCTCCAGCAACAACTGCCCCCCTCCCCAAATACATACCTGATGCCCTGCCTCCACCCAAGGCAGAGATGGTTTTACAAAGCTTTCTGTTCAGATCCCACTGCCTGCCTCTGGGGAATGAGCCTCCTTACACCTATGCTGCCACCACAGGTAAGAGAGCTCCTGTGACCACACAGGCTGTCCTGTACCAGGACATGGTTAAAGGTGCCTTTCCTGGTCCCTCCTTCCCCTTGAGCCCTGTAGCACAGGGCAAGCTCGGCTCTGCCTGGGCTGAGATGCTAACATCAGCACAAGGTCCTGCGCATCAAGAGAGGCAAGGCACATGGAGTCGGTGGGAAGCTGTTGTGAGGGCTGGAGCAGTGGGAACCAGCCCGAGGTGTCCAAGCCCTTTCCTGACCACGAGCATGACTTCCCACCGCTAGCACACAGCAGGGCCAAGAAGGCAGTAAGAGCAGGACATCAAGCCAGGTCCCATGCAAGCCCCAGAGCCTTCCCCTCCTGCACTCTGCCCATTTAATGCTGACTTCCTCAAAACAGCAAGGACAGCATAGAAAGACTTGCCAAAAGGCATTATTGGCTCTTATTCAGCAACACTGGACTCCATCCCCTTCTCTATGAGCAGTGGGAAGCGCGGAGGGAGGAATGGCAGTCCCCCTGCTTCCCCCATACCCAGAGAATCCTGCTCGCTGCCTTGCGCCACAGCCTCTATAGCCCCAGCAGGACCGGCATGTCCACACTGCCCCATGTTTCTACCCCCACATCTCAGGATCAGAGGCATCCCCCTTCCTAGCTGAAGTCCCTAAAGCACATCCCACCGGGTGCTGCAGTGCACGCAGCCTCAAGCCCAGCTCCTGCCTGCTAAGTAAGCCCTGTGCAGACACAGCCCTGGGAGCTGCTGCTATCAAGGGCTTGGTGGACCCAGATGGGCAGGGGCTCTCCTCACCTTTGTCTTGGGCCTGCAGATCAGCACAGCTTGCTGGGTTTTCTGTTTGGATGAGCACCCACATAGGAGCCAAGCAAGCCTCCACACTCCTGTCCATCCATTGCAAAGGGAATGAAGGAAGAAGGCAGTGGCATGAGGCTGGGAAGGCCATGATGACACACCTTGGCCCTTCCATGGCTGTGTCTCAGCCTGCAGACTGTGCACCAAGATGCTGATGGAGTCATCCCGCAGCCTGGCAGGGGGTGTGACAC